AGACGCGGGCCGCAGCCCGACCTCGCGTCGTCGAATTAAGAGGCATGATGACGGAAGTATCTGCCCAGGTTTGACTCGGCCGGAAGAGTCTGGCTCGGCCGCGCGCGCGCGCGTCTTGGTCGTCTCCTGCCGCGCGTCTCTTCGTCCGCCCACATCGACGACCGCGCGTGGGGTGCGTGCGTAAACTTCGGCGCGCGACATCCGTGCGATGGCCGCCCTCGCGCGCGTGAGCAGCGATGTGATCGCCGAGATCCTGCCTTTCCTCGACGTCGAATCCGTGGTACAAGTCGGCGCTGCATCTACATCGCTCCGAACGGCAGCGTTGCTGGACCGCGTCTGGACGCCGCGCCTCGCCACGTGCGGCCTCGGCCGCTTCGCTGTCGACGCCGGCGCGCTCGCTGAGCTCTCGACGATCAAGGTAGACGCTCGGCGCCTCTGCCTGCAGTGCCTCCCGTGGCGCCCGCGCCGCGGCACGGGCCCGGCCGCCGCCTCGACTTGGCAAAGCTCTTGGAGCTGGCGACCGTCGCAGATGCCTGAGCGGCTTCACCAGCCAAATTCATCGGGAGACTGGATCTTCGTCGAGGTCTACGAACGTGGCAACATTTATCAACCAGGCGACACCTCAGATAAGAACGCTGAGCATTTACGTGTTACCTTTCCTGGAGTCAGAGATGACAACTATATCGACATAGTTACGCGTGCCATCGCGCACAAATTCGTCCGTGTTGAAGACTGTACCTTTGACGACTTCCCAGACAGAATTAGCGTGCCGCTGAATGTCGTTCTTCTTCCTCAGGAGGAGGAACATGGCGAGGATAATTTCCTCGAATGGGAAGTCCGCGTGCTAGTGCAGCTGGGCGGGATCTTGGTGCCTTTCGCAGACACCTGCTGCATGCAGATCGCAGACGAAGATAGATACCACGTTACGAAACAGAGCGCTCTAATAGACGTGGGTCAAGATCTGACGGTGTCGGTTGAGAAATATTTAGAACAGGGCCGTTTGCATTCTATAGATTTGGTTTGGAGCATCGGGAAACAGCTGGATGATGACGACTTCAGGACTTTCGTCGGAGGGGGAAGTGGAGGGGGCGGTTACCAGGTTCTCGAAAACGACGTCCTGGGAGCCGGTGAGCAGGGGCTGCGTGCCTTTCACAATGATGCAACGCGAGTCATTTCTACGATTGAAGACGGCGATACATGGCATTTGTCAAATTACAGATATTCCTTCGCGTGCGACTACGAGCGTCACCCAAATTCGCGCGACGGTCCAAACTCGAACCTCTTCGATTTCACGCGCAAGAAAGGTCCAGCTCTCCTTCCGGCGCGACGACTCGCCGTTCGAGCCG